GCACTGAAATAATAATGCTTCCTGTTCCTTCAAGCTACTCTCTGCGCTACAGTGTTCGGCACGGCTCTGAGACTTACTGCTCGCCTCTGCTTCACGGCACTCTCGCAGATTACTTGCCTTCTTCTCGACTCACCGCAGACTACAAGGCAATCCCTGGCACTTGCTCCGGCTCATCGTTCTCACCGGCATCACTTGCAAGTGCGTAGTACGGCATGCATTACACACCGGCATATCATTCGCACCGGCGTCACTTGCCCTTACGCACACAGCATGCATTCCCCACCGGCATTAAGGACGCACCGGCAATCGGACTGCACTATCGACCTTCGGTCTGAGCAGGCGGGTGATGTGGCGGCGCTGTCGTCGCGCCACAAGCGAAATACAACGAAGCCTAAATCGCGCTATCAAAGTTCCGAAATTAAAGCAGCATATATAGAATAGCTCCGAACTACGAATCGGAGCGTTGGCCGCTCCCCGAGCAGAACACCTTGCCCGGCGGGAGATCTCCCCTTATCCTTCCACCCACTACAGCTTCTTCAATACAAGCTGTATTGAAGTTGCGTAAGTCCCGCCGCATGCATTTGGAGATCTGTCTGTTCAGTTGCCTGTATGCTGTCAACTCTGTTGAAGAATGTAGCTTCATCTCCCGTCTAACAGCCATGAGATTAAGAGTGTGATCGGAGAGTTTTTGTGTTCTTCTGCAGCGGGTCTTGCAGAACTTAGCTCCGACGGCATGGACAGTTTCCACGAGCTTGTCATTCATATCGTCCACTTCATTGCAGTCTTCTAGGCACTGAAAACGGTTTTGTAACTCGAGCTGAAAGGTTTTGGGACTTTGGAACAGAGCACGAGGGGGACGGAGCGTTGACTTCATTAGACGCGACCTCTCCAACTTAACGTTTAGATTCAGTGTGCCTCTAACCATTCGGTGATCGCTACCAGTTTTCACCCTCGCGATCACGGAGACATCACTGAACAGTTGTCGTCTGGTCGTCATAATGAAGTCAATCTCATTTTTGTCGAACCGTCGGGGCTCGACCAGGTCCACTTCCTGTGGGGCCGCTTCTGGAAGAAAGAGTTCATCATAAAGAGTCCCTCTTTCTCCATGCAGTCGGCCAGCTGCTGGCCCCTTGGGTTTTGTTGCCCATTAAGCTCACCGTTCTCTCTTGTGCCTAGTTTTGCATTGAATTCTCCCATTAACATCGTATATTGGGTTTTGGAGGAATGCATGGCTCTAGAGATACCCTCATACATTTCCTCCACCTCCTCATCGGGGTGTGCCGAGGTTGGTGCGTAAACCTGTATGACCTTCAGCGAATACCGTTTGGTGATTCTGAGTATAAGGTACGCAACCCTCGTCGACACACTCCCGATCTTCACAACGTTGTTTACGAGATACTTGTGGACGATAAATCCGACACCTCCTTGGGACAGATGGTCGCCCTCCCGGTGATAGAGCAAGTTGCCGGATTCAAGGATTACCGTGTCCTCCCCCTCTCTTCGGACTTCGGATAATCCTATAATATGCCAGCGCAACTTGTCTATCTTGAGATGAGATTGAGATGTTTGTTTGCCTATAATTTAACTGAACTGTAAATATTTTCTTGTTTCGTTTAACTACTCTAATAGGGCCGTCATAGATAGGTTGCAGTGATTTTCTGACTGAATCATGTCTAATAAAAACGTTAAAATTTTTAAAATTTTTATTGACACACTCATAATCGGAGTTATCGCTACATATAAATCCGCTGGTAACTCTACCGTTTGACTATACACAATTTCCGCCGCGGTAATACCGTTGTCCGTACGTATTGCTGATCCAAGGCCTAACATGATTGTGGGTGACTCGGTTACCCAAGATGATGTAATTGAATAAAGTCTAGCGGTTAAAGCTACTTTTAACGATCTATGCTATTTTTTCACTGCCCCATTGGATTGTGGGTGGTATGGGGTTGTTCTGTATTTACGAATACCTAAAATTTTTAGCAGTGACATGAACAGGGTTTTTAAACTGTCTACCTTGGTCGCAAGTTTCTTTTACTGGGTACCCAAAACATACAATCCATCATTCATAAATTATCTTAGCTATCGTTTCGGCAGTGATGTCCTTCATAGAAAATGATTCTGGCCATCGTGTCCGCCTGTCGATGATTGTTAATCAATATCTAAACCCGTATTCTGTTGTGGTTAATGGGCCCACAATGTCAACATGAATATGTTCGCATCGATTACAGTCTGAAAAATCTTCTAATTCTGAATTTGTATGACGAATAACTTTGCTAGGTTGGCATTGAAAACATGTCTTAGCCCATTGCCCTATATCTCGATTCATGTTCGGCCAAAATAATTTATTTTCCATTAATTTACGTGTGGCGTGAATGACGAGTTGACCTAAGTTATGTAATGACTCAAATATCTTTTGTCTAAAACTTTCAGGGAGATAAGGCCTTGCATTACTAGTTGATATTTCACAAAAAAATTATTTCACGCCTGTTTGTGGTACATCAATTTTTTTAATTTAACGTTGGTATTCTCGGGTAGTTTTTTTATATAAATATCGCTTAATTGGGCCTTGGCTAACTCTGTGTAGTCGATTATTTCCGGGTAATTAATTGTTTCGACTCGTGATATCGCATCGGCTACTGGTTTCTCGAAACCTTTAATGTGTTTTATGCCTGTTGAAAATTCGCTGATATGCTAGTTGACGTATCCACCTAGCTAGTTCTTTACCGTAGTTGTTTTTCGAAAATGCAAAGGTTGGGGGCTTGTGATTGGTAAAATCACTAATTTCCTGCCTTCAATAAGGTTCTGAAAGTATTTTATAGCTAAGTAAATTGCTAATAATTCCCTATCGTAAGCCGAATATTTTTGTTCAATGTTACTGATTGCCTTAGAAAAATAGCCGATAGATAACCATTTATTATTAACACATTGTTGCAACACTGCCCCGACGTAGGAATTTTACGCGTCAGTCATGAGTGCGAGCGTTGTATAAGGCAACGGATACGATAACGTCACCGCGTTTTGTAAACATTTTTAACATTGCAATAATGCTTCGTCGGCTTCCGTTGACCCTTGTTCCGTTGTCTGGATCATTACTGGAGCATCGTCTCGGAGTCGTTCCTTGTCTGTAGCGTGATGTTGAACGAGGGTGGAAACGGTCTCGTACCGATCCACGTCACGTTTGTCTTCCTCGTAATTGTACCACTTCAAGACGTAATTCCTCTGATTCGGTGGCCAGATCCTTTTCTTTTGTGTTCGTTTTTTGTGTCAATATTTCCGCTGCCGTAATGGGTCGTGTCGTTTCCATGATCTTGTCAGCTAACTCCACCAGTTTGCGTAATCTCGGTTACAGCCAATACTGCTCTGACGAATGTAGGTGGTTATCCCGTCCACATCATTCGGAGTATCTCGCGGGGTTGTTTATTTCTTGTTAAATCCTTCATTTTTCTAAGTAATTTCGACGGTTTTTGGTCACGTAATTCTATTTCAGATAATACCCTCTGGAATTGTTTGTCCGCAGACTCCTCATACAACGGTATGAGCCTGTTCTTCAGCATGTCATAGCTCTTGGTTTCTTGAGGATCTAATTGCACGTCACTTGCTTATTCCACTTTGTCTTTGGTGAGTTTGGTCACGAGTAGGTTGAACTTGTTTTCATCTGACAACTTTTGATTTGCAACGACGGCTTCAAATTGCACGAACCAGAGACTGGGTTGCAGGTGAAAAAGTCCATAACAGTTTAAAATGAGGGACAGCTAAGTGAACAAGTCCATATTAATTGAAACAAAGAACGGCTAAGTGAACAAGTCCAAACAGTTAAAAGTAAGGGCAGCAAAGGGAACAAGTCCATAAGAAAGTGCGAAGCTGGGGCGGATCGTTAGTTGGTAATAAAATCGCAGTAAGTATACTCTGTTCAAACGTACAGAAGTTTTTTTTTTATGTACGACTGATGATATTGTCAATATGAACACATAATAGGTTTGCATGCGAATTAGGAATATTAGAAGAATTCATTTATGTTTAAACAATATAACAGTTCATAAGTATCGTCTAGTGTAACGTACAGTGTAATAACTATAATTTTTGTTTAAATAAATAATCACATATAATAAAAGACGAATTTTTTTTTATTTATATATACTTATAAAAAGACTTGTATAATGGTACGGAACCCTTTGTATGCAAGTCCAACTTGCACTAGCCCATAAAATACGTACTTCTATTTTTAAATCTAAAGCCACTATAGCAAATTACTATACAAAATTCCATTACCCCTATTTAAGCCTTTTGGGGGTGGAATTTTCGAAAACTGTGAAACACGTACTTCTTTATTTTAAATCAATAGCTAAAATACTGAACTTCATGAATGGAATTTGGTAAACGGTGGAATTTCATAAAATAATTCGACCCCTATTTAATCCCTTTGTGGGTAGAATTTAAAAAAAATACTGTGAAATAAATACTTATTTGTTTTATAATATATATAATTATATATCACTACACTATTTCTTGTCGCTTTATTTCGTTTTTTCTGGATCAAGTCGCATTCCGCAATATTGGCAGATGTTATTAGATGTTTTGATTTCACTATTTAGTGTGCATATTAGTGAAACAATGTCCTTAATTTATGAATAATCTGACTTTAAACAACATTTACAAATGTACTCGTACTATCGCCTACGAGCCTATACTCTTGCATGACTAAGGAAATATAAGTTAACAGGTCAAAACGTGCTATTATATGCTACTTATATTTTAAGATTGTCACTGTAAATAATCGCATAGTTTGTAAGCGATAAAACACAGTAATAAAAAAGACAATGCAAATAATGATCTATAGTCAGGGTATACTGACGTATGACTAGTATTGTCAGAATACCATATAAATCATTCCGTATACGGTCGCGATCAACTCAAGTACTCTTAAAGTAATATATTTGTAAATATTGTATTATTAAAATTTGTATTGTATTATTAAAATTTGAGTACTAAAAATTATGTTGATTAAAATCATTAACTTTGTAATAATACAATGGATGTTTGGATACTGTCAACCATACAAACTGCTCGTAGTGTTTCCAATTCCTGGGAAAAGCCACTCCATTCTTGGCCATGCATTTGTGAAACATTTGTTAAATGCCGGACATGAAGTAAGTGTTTTCAATATCATTCCTTTTTTATCCGACTCTCTGTTGGGCACAAGCCTCTTATGATTTTTGAGGTACAAGGTAGAATATTATCCCGCTATTCCCTCTTATATTGTAAGAAAAGCTTTTAAAGATTTATTTCAATACAAACTTTAATTCGAATCGTTTTTTTTTGTGCAGGATTAGAGTGTATTTTTTTTAAATTTAAATTATATAGGACATAAACTTTCAGATTATGATCGTACTGTTTTCTTAGAATCTTATATTAATAGAAAGTCAAAGTGTGTTTACTAGTACATATATTTACACGAACCTAGGTCGCACTTCGACCTATAATCTATCTCTATGAAAAAAAAAAATGTTAAAACTACCACATCTTGTTCAACTTATTAAATGCATTTGAGTTACTTTTTAGCAGATTTCAAAAAAAGGAAGAGGTTCTAAAGTCGGCGGTATGTGATTTTTGTTTGATATTTTCGCTAACTGTAAACTAATTTAAAAGATTTAAAGAAGAGGCTTTGCATCTCAGTATTCAGGGGCATTTGCATTTTTATTCTTAATTGAGGATAAATGTAGATGTTTTTGGGCTAAAGAATCAACTCTGGACTGTGTGCTCGTTTGTCACTTTTATTTTATAACATAAAAAAAAAACAAAGCGGATAAAAACCACAGATGTATAAAATCGCAACCATTTCACAAAAAGCATTTCGAAGTTTAAAATATTCAAGCAGTATCGATGAATTGATGTCCCCGATGCGACCCTCTCATATTAGTTTAATGAACATCTATTTACAGGGAATGGCGACGGAAAAAATATTAATATTGTTCAATTTATTTCTAGGTAACGTATATAACACCGATTCCAATAAAAGACGTCGAACCACGACTGAGACAAATTAACGTTGAATCTAACTACAATCGGTTTCCTTCAGGTAAATTTCCATTGTTTATTCAAATAATCCCTGCTTTAGGTTTACATAAACAAAAATCTTGGATTGGACTGGAAACGACTTTATTAGAAAGAGAAGTGCCATAATAATAATATGCATACCTCTTTTTACTTATGCAGTTCGAACACTTAACCATCGTAATTCTGCTGCTAACGCTCTTGATCTTCAATCCAAAGTATTTTTACTGTTATTTTAGAAGAGCGTTACTTTAACATGTTGCATTTAAAAATAAAATGTATGAATACGTATACTTTTAACAGTGGTAGAGCCACGCGGCAGCTTTTGCTGTCGCATGGATGGGCCAGCTCGAACCGGGGTACCACGACCTCACAGAAAACCAGCGTGAAGTAGAGGTTTACCTCTGCGTTTTGCTTGGTGAGTGCAGGTGGCCGGAGGCCTTTTTTACTGGAAATGAGGTATTCCATCTTAGTCCTCACGGGTGACAACGCATCTACATTTTGATTTGTAACAGAGGATAGATGTAGATGTCTATGGGCCGCAGTAACCACTTACCATCAGGTGGACTGTGTGCTCGTTCGTCACCCTTATCCTATAAAAAAATGCTTATGAGAGAATATGAAGTCTTAATAATGTCCTCCAGTCTGAATTTCGGTCACGTCTCAATGGAGAATAGCCATCTGCGCAGGACAGAGTTATATGGCATGTGTTATTTGTTATATGCATGACTGTATACGCAAGCTTAGGTGCACTCTTCATTTACTGTCTTATAGTTCGATCCTACCAGAGAAAGATCAGGCATATCACCAACGACATTATGTGCTTTCTAAGGCGCGGGGGTCAAACAACGCCAACTTCTAATCTCCGAGCTGCTACTGAAAATTTCTTGACAGAAATATCATAAAACTTGTCTTGGCCCTTCCTGGGATTTGCACCCGGCATCATATGATCATCAGTTGCAATTACGATCACTAAACTACTTGCCTTTATGCTCAGTTAATAGATCAGGAATACATAACGTTGCCTTACTTAACTTTACTTGGGCTGTACCTAATGATGATATATATATATATATATATATATATATATATATATATATCATCATTACAGCCCTCCACAAGTCCACTGCTGAACATAGGCCTCCCTGAGGAATGTTACAAGGAACGGTACTGAGCTACCTGCATCCATCGACTGCATGTCTTGCCAGGTTGTCACTCCATCTAGTGGTGTGACGCCCCACACTTCGTCCGTCGGTACGAGGCCGCCACTCGAAAATCTTTTTTCCCTATCGGTTTTCGGTTCTTCCATCTATATGGCAGGCCCATTGCCATGTGAGCTTACTAATCCGTTGTCCTATGTCGGTCACTCTGGATCTATTGCGGATATCCTCATTTCTAAGTTTATCACACTGAGAAACCCCGAACATAGATCTACATAGTTCGCTGAACAACCTTGAGCTTCCTCATACGGCTAGCAGTGAAGGACCATATATCAATTCCATGGGTCATCACTGGCAACACAAACCGGTTATACAGTCTGAACTCTCGGTCGAAGTTGGATTTACCTAGTCGGGCTATTTTTCCCAGGTAAATATACCCATCAACAACTTCGTGCTTAATGCTCCCAACAACTACCGGCATAGGTGTGACATGGACGTTATACATGATCTTTGTTTCGTCCATATCCATCATAAGACCTTTCCGTTGAGAGGCACTATAGAGATTATTGAGAATAGTGCTTAGGTCCTCGAGCGATTCTGTCATAATGAGTATATTGTCGTCAAATCGAAGCTAAGTGATGTACTCGCCGTTGATGTTAACACCGTATTCTTTTGAGTCCAGTAGCTTGAAAATGTCCTCAAATCCAGCGATGAAGAGTTTCGGGGATATAACGTCACCCTGTTTTACACCTCTCTGCAGTTGGATAGGTTTCGTACTCTGGTTCTGTACTCTGATTGCCATTGTAGCTTTATTGCACAAACACTTCAGCACTTCGATATACCAACAGTCAACTTGGCATCGCTGAAGGGACTGCAGCAAGGTCCAAATTTCGACGAAATCAAAGGCTTTCTCATGGTCCACAAATTGTGCTCTTCGAACTTCTGTATAATTTGCTGAAGGGCATGTAAGGCAACAAGGCAATAAGGTGATCGCCACCATACTGGCTCTATGAAAAATCATTTAAAATTGTATAAACGAAATTATTGTTAAGTAAAATATGTTTGAAAAAAAGTCCCGCTGGGTTTCTTGCTGGTTCTTCCCAGGACAGAGGCATTTTCCGAACCAGTGGTAAATGAAAAATGATTTTCAATAAGAGTTATGTAATAATCAACATTGAATAAAAATAATCTATTCTATTCTATTCTGTGTGGTATATGGTGCTAAAACCTTTTCGGAAACCAGCTTGTTCGGGAGGCTGGAAGTCGTCGAGTCTGCATGCAAGACGATTCGTAATGACTCTCGAAAACAGCACGTAGACGCGGCACAGAGGGAAAATCGGTGTGTAGTTCTTCAAGAGAATTTTGTTGCCTTTCTTGAAGAACAAGACCACCGCACTTCTGCTCCACGCCTCTGGTATAGTGCCACCATGGAGGACGGAATTAAAAAGCTTCTGAAGGACTTCAAGTGCCGGTTTTGACACGCTTTCAGAAGCTCCGCTGTAATTCTAACCTCGCCTGGGGCCTAGCTGTTTTTATGGTACTAGAGAGCTATTATAGTCTTGCTCAGACGGACGTCCGATCAAATCTGCTGAAGAGTGTAGCTTCATTTCCTGTCTAACAGCCATGGTCTTGGCTTTACCACGTAAACCCGTCAAAATAAAGGTTTCTTAGAAACTTGAAATTTGATGTCAAGATAGATCATTAGGCTTATACAAAAGGAAAAATCTGTAAACTATAAGTTATCGATATAATCAGGGATGACAACGCATCTGCGTTTAGATTTTTAATCGAGGATAGATGTAGATGTCTATGGGCCACAGCATCCACTTACAATATGGTGGACTGTGTGTTCGTTTGTCACTTTTAGTCATAAAAAAAGAGTTCAAGTACTTTACCTGAAACAGTACTTAAAATAAACAGCATCAATGACTTTGTCGACATCCAATATCGATAGTTTTTAGTTTTTTCCTTTGTATAAGCCTAGTAATCTAAGTTAACGAAAAAATTCTAGATATTGAGAAATCTAGAAGAGGCCTAAGTTGTAATGAGTTAGTCAGTGAATGATAATTGTGGCGCTTTTCAGACCATAATGGCTCAATACTGTCACAGGTTTATTCATAATATTATTTTAGATTCTAGGTGAATAAAGGGTCCTTATTAGATATACTATGTTACATGTGTGTAGGTCTAATAGAATTTCAGTTAAGGGAGATTTGAAAGTGGCTTGAAATGGTTCATCTAAATATACTACACACTGCCGTTGCGTTGCACTCACGGAGTAAATACAAAGTTGTATTTGCACCATGGTTATACTTTTCTTTTCCAAACTTGGCTGACACATTACCGTATCGTAATATTTCGTTAATTTTCAGATGATGTGTTAGATATACAAAAACTTATCGATAAAGAAGTTGATTTGAAGGATATGCCAACAGTATTTACTTTGATGTACGACGTGGCCAACGCTACAATTTTACATGAAGACGTTCAAAAGCTGCTTCATAGTGCTTCGGAAGAGTTTGACGCCGTTATTGCAGAATGGATGTATAGTGAATTGTATTCTGGGTAAATTAAATTATGTACGTTTTAAAAAAAATAACAAAAAAAACTATCCAAAGTCAATGCTAGTTTATTATTTTTACTGCTTGATATTATTTGCTACTACCCCAGGTGATGGTAAGTGAGGATGCAGCTCATGAAAGCTCTCACAAAATACCAGCGTAAAATAGCAGCTTAATGCTGCCGTGTTTCGCATGGTTGGTGTAGAGAACTGGGTATCCTTTTTACTGGAAACGGCACGACATTTCTATCTTAGTCCTCAAGGGTGACAAAGTATCTGTATTTTGATTCTGAACTGAGGATAGTACAATATTCAAACTGTTAAAACTGTGTTTGAAGTCCTATATTTTACACCGTGCCTCTGCATATGCAATATTATAATCATATCATTTGCCTAATAAATAATTGTAGCATTTGAAAATTGTTTACTTTTCACAGAGATTATCACTGTTGAAATTCTTGCTCAAGAGATATTTTTATCGTGATTACCATTACCTCGTTATAGACAAATATTTGTAACTTTCAAAAGATTTAAACCTTGAAACGATCCATATTACGAAGCTATATAGCAGTTTAAACACGAGGGCTTTGTACTAAGTACTTGCATTTACGAAAATGCTATTTTTTATAATAATAATAAGGATTCATTACTCATGTTTAGTATTGGAAACTTAAAAAGCGATTAAGAGTTCGCAGTTCCTACAGTGTAATTTAAATGACTAGTTAGAAGGTTCTTATAATGGTTCTTCAAGGTTTTTATAATGATATAAAACTCCTCCATGACATAAAACATTCATTTACGTAGGCCAGAGGCGCTGTTTACATATCTATATAATTTTAGTAGATGACGATGGAAAAACGTTCGTGTCGACAACTTTTTTTTTTATAAAACTTAGGTAATAAACGAACTTAGAGTACACCTAATGGTAAGTGACCACTACAACTCATGGACACTTTCAGCCAACTTCAGGCAAAGTAGGCTACAGAAATGCGTTGTCATCTTTGGGTAGGATTACCAGATCCCACATTAAGTTTTCCTGGCAATACTCGTAAACCTGAATTTTCAATAAATTTCCTGACATTGACGCAGAGGCAGCAAATAGTCCGAGAGCTGGTAGAGAGCTGGTGAGCATTTGAGCGTGAGCGTCTCAAATACCTATCCGAAAATATATTTTTTATAGGATAGGCTGACAATCGAGCACACAGTCCACCTGATGTAAGTGGTTGCTGTGACCTTTCTACATCTATCCTTAATAAAGAATCAAAATGCAGATGTATATGATGTGTACAATAAAAGTATAATTATTTATTTATTCATTCAACATTGAGAAACAGATATTGGTACATAATAATTAAGGAGTCACAAGGATGTCATAACTGATCCCGCGACAGTTGATACCTCCTTTGATAGTAGAGCGACCTTTGATAATAAAGTAAACTATTATCTCTATTGTTGTTTATTGTTATTTTTATTGTGTTGATGTGATCTCTAACGACTGGTTTATCGGTAACAAGTACTGCTCGTTGCCCCGCGCGAGTAACGAGCTGTTATCATAATGTCACACAACTTTTTAACGTCATCCATTGACTACGAATGTCTGTGAGTCGAATGAAGCCCTCTTTCATTATATCATACTATAGTACAAGATCCAAACATATGTATATTTTATTAATAAAAATATACATTTGTTTGGATTAATAAAATAAAAATAAACTTTCACTTTTCGCTTACTAGATGGAAATGATTTTCTATCAAACAATATATCGCGGATGGATTTCCAGTAAAAAGGGTTTCCGGTTCTCTGCACTTACCATACAAAACACAGCAGCATTAAGCTGTTATTTACGCTGGTATTCTTTGAGAGCGAAATCCTTCTCCGGTCGAGCCGACCCATTCGTGCTATTAGTTACCATAACATAAAATAAAAATAATTATCAAATCTTCAGATTCATAAGAATTCGTAATAAATAGTAAAAAGCGACTCCTACATAACAGCTTCTGTAGTAGGGACTTTAACTCTACGATACATTATATTTTAACAACTTCTGAAGGTAATATGTGGAAATTATTTTATGCTCTTGAGATTTTGAAATTTGTTCTTTAATCATTTTTAATTTTATTTTAAATTTTTTTCACATATTAGTTAGTAATTTTGATATTTTACGTTAAATTTACTTGCAATGTACATGGATTCGTATTCTGACCAGCCTGTACCCACCTATATTTTTATTTCCTTTCTTTATTTCTGAGTTAAATACACTAGAAAACATAAATAAAAACATAAATTTTAACAATTTTAATTACAGTTTCGCCGCTGTTTTCAATTGTCCATTGATCTGGTTCTTATCTGTGAGCCCACACAACATGGCGCTGTCACTAATAGATAAAGAACCAAACCCAGCTTACACAGCTGACCATATCATGTCCAATTCTATACCACCATTCACATTTTGGGAGCGGGTTGGTGAATTATGGATCCTATTCCGTTGGAAATTTTACAGATGGTGAGTTGATTTATGTTTTTTCGGATGATTTATGTTTATTTCACATGTTATAATCTAAAATCCAGTGATGACATACGGAACTGAGACGTGGTCCTTCACTGCTGGCCGGATGAGGAAGCTCAAGGTCGCTCAGCGAGCTATGGAGAGGGCTATGCTCGGAGTTTCTCTGCGTGATAAACTCAGAAATGAGGATATCCGCAGTAGAACTAGAGTGACCGACATAGCCCAACGGATTAGTAAGCTGAAGTGGCAATGGGCCGGCCATATAGCTCGAAGAACCGACAACCGATGGGGAAGAAAGGTTCTCGAGTGGCAGCCTCGTACCGGCAGGCGAAGTGTAGGGCGTCCCCCCACTAGATGGAGTGACGACCTGGTAAGATATGCAGGAAGTCGATGGATGCAGGTGGCTCAGGACCGTGCTTTGTGGCATTCTTTGGGGGAGGCCTATGTTCAGCAGTGGACTTGTGAAGGGCTGTAATGATGATGATGATGATGATGAATCTAAAAATCCTATGCCGTCCAGTTTGGGAGAATCAAATACATCAATTTTTACCTAAGTGGGAAACGCAAGAAGGGTCTCACGGTATACAAAACCATATATATATATATATGGTCTAATTAGCTAATACAATAAACATAAATAATAATAGAGTGGTGACAAATTTCTGTATATTATTAAACTGTAAATTATTTATTTAAATTCAAAAGTCAATACTACAAAATTTTTATTTTTATTTATATTTGATTTTATTATACTTACCAGGTCAGTAAACGATCGAGACTCCAAGTCTTTTGATGAAGCCTTTAAATCGGCCGTTATGGAAAGGAGCCGTATACTGCTCCCGCTGGATGAACTAAAGTATAATGGATCTTTAATGTTCGGGAATTCTCACGTATCATTAGGTGACGCCGTCGTAATACCACGTAATTTTATCGAAATAGGTGGATATCACATAAACAGTACCGTAAAACCTTTACCCAACGTAAGTAATTATTTAAAATATTTATAAATGCTAACTTAATAAATCTGTGTAATGGCGGTGTAAGAATATCCATTACCCCATATCATCCCGTGGGTCGTAAGAGGCGACAGAAGGAAACAAATCAGGAGATGGGCAGCAGCGTCTTCCTAATAACGACTAAAAATAAAACAGTGCGGTTGCGGTAATTTAAGGTTATTAATATATCAACTTTGGCCTCTCAATACATTTATGAAAATGTAATGTACGTCACAAAAATAAAAGTAACTACTTTTATTTTATGACTATACAAAAATAAGTCATATTCATTCTGTAAATACTAGGAACAGACTCAAGTTAGTAGCACCAGTCACTCGAATCCACGAGTCAGTAATTCATTCTTGGAGTGATGTATACGCTTTTACAACAAAATGCCAGAAAATATACAAAATTTGACCTGCTCAAAGTTCAAAAACATTCTTAAAAAAGTTTGTATAAAAAGGGTTATTACAATATTAAGAATTTATGGATGATAATAACCCTGCCTGGCCTGAGGACTGACGAGAAGATCGTGGAGCTGGAAGAAGAGATAGACAAGTTACGCTGGCATATTATAGGATATTATATATATATATATATATATATATATATATATATATATATATATATTATTAAGTCCAAAGAGAGGGGGAAGACACGCTAATCCTCGAATCCGGCAACTTGTTCTATCACCGGATGGGCGACCATCTGTCCCAAGGAGGTGTCGGATTTATCGTCCACAAGTCTCTCGTTAACAACGTTGTAAAGATTGAGGGTGTGTCGACGAGGGTTGCGTCCTTGCGACCTTATACTCAGAATCACCAACCGGTATTCGCTGAAGGTCATACAGGTTTACGCACCAACCTCGACACACCCCGATCAGGAGGTGGAGGAAATGTATGAGGATATCTCTAGAGCCATGCATTCCTCCAAAATCCACTATACGGTGTTAATGGGAGACTTCAATGCAAAACTAGGCACAAGAGAGAACGGTGAGCTGAAAGTAGGGAAATTTGGAATAGGGCAACGGAACCCCAGGGGCCAGCAGCTGGCTGACTTCATTGAGAAAGAGGGACTCTTTATGATGAACTCTTTCTTCCAGAAGCGGCCCCACAGGAAGTGGACCTGGTCGAGCCCCGACGGTTCGACAAAAAATGAGATTGACTTCATTATGACGACCAGACGACAACTGTTCAGTGATGTCTCAGTGATCGCGAGGGTGAAAACCGGCAGCGATCACCGAATGGTTAGAGTCACACTGAACCTAAACGTTAAGTTGGAGAGGTCTCGTCTAATGAAGTCAACGCTCCGTTCCCCTCATGCTCTAATCCAAAGTCCCGAATCCTTTCAGCTCGAGTTACAAAACCGTTTTCAGTGCCTAGAAGACTGCAATGAAGTGGACGATATGAATTGCAAGCTCGTGGAAACTGTCCATGCGGTTGGAGCTAAGTTCTGCAAACCCGCCGCAGAAGAACACAAAAACTCTCCGATCACAGCCTTAATCTCATGGCTGATAGACTCAATAGTGTCTCCCAACGGATAGATCTTAAGATAAATATGGACAAAACAAAAATCATGTTTAACGTCCATGACGGTAGTTGTTGGGAGCATTAAGCTCGAAGTTGTTGACGACTATGTTTACCTGGGACAAATAGCCCGACTAGGTAAGTCCAACTTCGACCGAGAAGTCAATCGACGGATTCAACTCGGCTGGGCAGCGTTCGGGAAACTACGACACATCTACTCGTTAGACATACCTCAAAACCTGAAAACGAAATTGTACAACCAGTGCGTGTTGCCAGTGATGACTTACGGATCTGAGATGTGGTCCTTCACTGCTGGCTGTATGAGGAAGCTCAAGGTGGCTCAGCGAGCTATGGAGAGGGCTATACTCGGAGTTTCTCTGCGTGATAAACTTAAAAATGAGGATATCCGCAGTAGAACCAGAGTAACCGACATAGCCCAACGGATTAGTAAGCTGAAGTGGCAGTGGGCCCGCCATATAGCTCGAAGAACCGACAACCGATGGGTAAGAAAGGTTCTCGAGTGGCAGCCTCGTACCGGTAGGCGAAGTGTAGGGTGCCCCCCACTAGATGGAGTGACGACCGGGTGAGACATGCAGGAAGTCGATGGATGCAGGTGGCTCAGCACCATGATTTGTGGCATTCCTTGGGGGAGGCCTATGTTCAGCAGTGGACTTGTGAAGGGCTGTAATGATGGTGATGATGAATAACCCCTGGGAATGAGGTGAACACTACCAAGCTATTTCTAATTTGTTTTGCGTGGTTAATTGTATAGCATATATTATTGTAAGCTGTTTTTAAAAAAAAAGTCCCGCTAGGTTTCTTGCTGGTTCTTCCCAGGACAGAGGTTTTTCTTCGAACCAGTAAACAAAACCACTAAACAAAAGAGTGACTTTATATAATTATTATTTGTAATTTATTTTGAATAAAAAAGTATTTGTTTTTATTTCCGTTGCCAAGCGTATCAAGATTGGCAGCTATGGTAAACATCCCCTTCAAAAGGAAATGCATGGGGAGGCCTATGTTCAACAGTGGACTTTAATAGACTGTAACGATAAATTTACATGTGATAGGGCTTCTATTTTGTCGAGATAGTCGTCTGGGCTACTGCAAGGGTAGCGGTAGTAAGCAATGTCCCAGCAAAAATACAAAGCAATGCAGGAGTACCGGTTGTATTCCGAGCAAAGATTCACTGACCCCTTGATGGCGTTTACCATTTGGGAGCCCGGCATAACGTTTTTTCTCGCGTAGTAAAAAAGAGCCTGCCTGGCGAAGGCAACAGTGTTCCGAATGATATGTTCTGGGTTGGTTAAAAATTTATAAGAGTCAGTATAATATCTGGTTGAAAGGCATATTTTATTCCTGACAGCTCATACCTGCAACCAAGTACCAACAGTGAAGGCAATTTCATTTGTTGTCTACTAATGATCGTGTCCACGGATGTAATGTTTTGCTTAGATGTAAACGAAGTTCGTGTCTACCCAGATGAAGATTTGAACTGGAAAGAAGCGCTTTTATTTTTAAGTTAATTTTTTTCTAGAATAGACTAAGTGAAACAGATAAAGAACATCATATTTGGTTGTAACATCAGACAACAAAAAGCTTTTAAATTGGCTCGCAATTACTGTTCTCTCGGTCATTATTCTAATGTCAGTATTTATCTAATCATTAGACGCAATACCCAAGATGACATGACAGTAAATAAGTAGTCAAAATAATCGAGCCCATAACTTGTCGTTGATTTCAAATTTTACCTTGAATTAAATCTCGTCAATAAATAAAAAGGTTATTCTGTATTTTTAATTACAATCTTAATGTTTAAGTCCATGTTCTTTAATAAAGACATGAACGACCACACAGTTCACCAGGGTAATTTATGGGTGTTGTAACGCTCTCCCCTCCCTTTATATATATATATATATATATTTATTATGGGAGCGGGGAGCGTTACTAGCTGACCAGGCAGACGCTGATCTGCCCTTTTCGACGACCCTTTATATAAAAAATCCTTAAATTCCTGATAATAAACATATTGAAATTATTTTATAAGGCTTCGCCCCTTGGAGGTGCGTAAGCACAAACATCAACCGAGGTCACGCATGTCAATGCATGTAAACGCCATTCAGAATTCAATCAAATCCAACCACAGTGAATATACGTCATACGGTTTAGACAACGCGTCGAATATAGGCACACTGTCCATAAAATGCCCTCCGTAGCTCCATCACCTGGCAGACCACCTTGCCGCTCCTGCAGACGTGATGTAAGTGTAAAGCATCACCACCAATTGATTGAGGTACCACGTAGAGCGGCTTTCGGCCGAAGCCTTGAGCGTCTACTCCCTTTCGTCTACCACCTGCATGAGGTCGACACATATGCTCCACCAACCAATACAATGGCAGATATAGCTAATAGGCAGTTATAATATATTAGTAATAATTCGGTTTGTGTCACTGACGTTGAGTATATGCATTTTTCGATCATGTTTGTCTCACCCACGTACAAGTTGTCTTCAATCAATCAAAGGTGAGAAATTTACAGAGATATATTATGTGTGTTGTGATATAAAAATCTGTATTTAATACTATATATAAGTATTTAATACCATGGAGGTCAGACAGTCTGCAGCCCCGTGAGGAAGGGACCCAACTTGGGCAAAAATAGACGCAGAGAGCGCCATTGAGAATAGCGACCCGCCAAACAACCATTGCAGAGACGCAATGCTGCAGAATGCAACAAGCTTCAATACGAATATCGCCGAGCTTACACCATCCCATGGTCCCCCATACAGTCCTAGCAGACATCAACACCCACATACCTCCATGGACCAGTACCACAAGATGCGTCGAATCAGGCGTAGCACACCCGCAGAACCATCACAAGACGCATTACCGCAAGTAGCAGTAAGCATGAATGCAACTATCATACCGACGGCACCCCCTCACAACACACCCACATGATTCCTATCGACTTAGGTAACAAAATTGGTACTGTTGTTAACTAAAAATAGCATCAACGTATCGTAGTAGCATGCTACTAAGACGCCAGTAGCCAAAAATCCACGTATCATAGAGCTATTGCACTAAGACATGGAGTTGAGTACGCTTGTTGAACTTGAAAGTACTACCAAACACACTCACCCAAATCCGAAATATAGCCAACATATCAGAACGCTATGCGTAATACCGGGCGAATCTTTGACCTCACAGCACAGAATTTTGGTCGGCTGTATATCGCTAATCAAGCCTATAAAATACACCACTGTCAAAATCCCCCAAAATTAAGTGGCACTTGTTAAACACCGAAAAAGGAGACAAATTATTAGAGGAGATACGGGACATACTAATAGAAGATATAAAAAATGGCCCTAACATTTCTGCGGAGAATACGTGGTCTAAATTTGAAAAGCTGTGCAGGAATTCAGCTGAGAAAAACTTAGGAATATCGAGAGGAAAGCTGCATAATAACAAAGATCCTTCATGGTGGAATGAAGAAGTAAAAGGCGCATTAAGGAACAAGAAAGAGTGCTTCAAACAATGGCAGAGCTCAGGTTTAGACGACGACCGCATACTATATAAAATCGCTAAAAAGCTGGCGAAGTGTAAAGTGGCGAAACCATGAAATGACTCCAGGGAAAAGTTCTACAAACACCTTGAAAATGCAAACAATGATAGAAATATATTTAAGCTCGCCAAACAACGCCATAAAAACGGTTTGGATATTAAAATTAATAAATACATTAAAAACGAAAATGGCCATTTACTAACAGAAGATAACAAAATTAATGAGCGATGGTGCCAATATTACCAAAAACTACTGAACAAAGAATTCCCGAGTCAACCATTGAATACATCTACTAGCGTAGCTGGGCCATTGAACAAAATAGGTGAAGAGGAGGTCAAAAGAGCTCTGAAAAAGTTAAAAAACCACAAAGCAGTTGAACCGGATAGTATACCCGCTGATCTGTGGAAGTTGCTGGGACCTATTGCTGTACAGTGGCTAACGAAGCTCTTTAATCAAATCTTAACCTCCATGAAGATCCCAAAGTCCTGGCGTCATAGTTATCTGGTACCTTTCTACAAGAACAAAGGAGATATCAGTGACTGCGGCAATTATAGGGGTATCAAACTTAATTCCCATACTTTGAAACTATGGGAGCGCATACTCAACAATCGACTTTGTCAGTTGGTGTCCGTATCTGATAATCAGTGTGGTTTCGCGCCAGGAAGATCAACGACTGATGCAATCTAAGCCATAAGGATTCTAATGGAAAAACACCGAACCAACAGAGAAGACCTCCACCTAGTGTTCATAGACCTGGAAAAGGCTTTCGACAGAGTACCACGTAAATTAGTTTGGAAAGCTATGAGAGCACAACAAATGCCAGAACTCTATATTCACCTGGTGCATGATATGTATCAAAACATAAGCACCACAGGTGAGAAGCCTGGCAGGACTTAGCGAACCGTTCCAAGTTAAGTTCGGAGTGCATCAGGGATCGGCACTAAGCCCATTCCTATTTAACCTATCTCTGGATTATCTAACTAAAGACATGCATTCCCCCCTCCCGTGGTGCATGCTATATGCGGACGATATTGTGCTCATCGACAAATGTGCAATTCAACTGCAAGCGACACTCGAGCAATGGAGACAGGCTATCGAAAACAATGGCCTCCATATCAGCATGAGCAAGACCGAGTTTCTGAGATGAAGTTTTAGTGAACAATATACGCCTAACATAAGTGTCTCCATCGACGGCCAGCCACTGCCCTGCGTCAATAAATTTAAATACCTTGGCTCAGTGCTAACAGCGGATGTCAACATTGACGCAGACGTCACTCATAGAATTAATGCAGCGTGGCTAAGGTGGAGAACCCTATCAGGAATACTTTACGATAGCAGGATGCCAATACAACTGAAAGGCAAGATTTACAAAACTGCTGTAAGACCTGCCATGTTATATGGTGCCGAATGCTGGGCGGCCAAGAAGATTCACGAAAAAAAGATGCACACGAATGAAATGAAAATGCTACGATGGTCAGCAGGCGTAACGAGACTTGATAAAGTGCGCAATGAGTACATCAGAGGTTCCTTTAAAGTTGTAGATAAGATGGTCGAGAGTCGTATGCGATGGTATAGGCATGTAATGAGGCGGGAAGAAGAACACCCAGTGAGGAAGGCCTTAGCAATTCCAGAGAAAAAGAAAGGCAGGGGTCGCCCGTTAGCCACGTGGTGGACAACCGTATCCAAGAATCTGGAACGAGCATAGTTTGAAATACAGACAACCCAAGATAGGAAATCTTGGCGCATAAAAACGAGGAGAGTCGAGCCCAAATAAAGGGACAAGGCAAGGAAGAAGAAGAAGATATCAGAACGCTATGCTCTAAAACACGTCAGTAGTAATAAACTGTAGGAATGTGCGATGGCCACAGGCAAGTTCTATTGCTACAATGAACACGCTTACCACCGGCAATAAGATGATATGCCTAGGAAAGATCGGTTAGCGAGTCCAAGTTTGCCTCAGTCTCGGACGATGCAAAGCATTCTAATATAAAAAAGACTAATCCTTATCTAGTCCCATTTCTATCAATATACTGCTTTTTATATATATAAATATATATATATATATATATATTATATTTGAGACCTTTCACATATTTACTTTATTTCATAGACCTTATAGGTTTTTTATATACAGGACTTCAAGTTCTAACTCTGTTATTATAATGCTTATGCATCTAAGAGACATTCTATATTAACCCTCTTGTATCTATGATATCTTGCTATCATAAGTCCCTAATATAGAAGGTGCAACAGTACTACTACCTTGGGTATGCGTCTCCGGCAACTCCCTTGTATAATTAATAATTACATGAACCCCTTCCTTTTTTGTTATTTGTTTTACATGGGGAAATGCCTACGCATACACGCCTCGTAGGGGCAAGAACGGGTTATGTCGGACTCGCACCGACTAAAACTCCATGGTGATCCACCTTTGCCAAATATTGGCAGGGCCACGGGAACGCTTTCCCACACATCCGCGGCCCCACCAGCGCCAACCGCCCCATGGCAGCCCCTTCTCGGAGGAGGACCTTTCCTCCCCATTCTCCTTCTCAGGCAAGGTGCACAAGGAACACAAGGCACGCCTCCCTCCACGGCCTCCAACTCCACCTGCGTATCGGACCCCCCCGAGTTCGATACGCGGAGGCCATGGGGCCAGGAAAATCGAGCGCTTAGTAGCACCCGCTTCTCCCCCCGCGGCCCCACCACCACCACATCAACGGTGCGGCCCCGTCAGAGTCGCGGAGGATAGGGCGAGTGGCGCATCGCCATACTAACACTCCTTTTCCTCCGTGACTCCACCTTGGCTTGCAGCGGTAGGGGGAGAGGACACCCCTCTCACTGCAGCCCACCGACACACATCCGAAGTGGGCTCCCCAAGCCCACTCGGAGTGGCCACCTTGGGCTGGCCCTACACCATGGACCAGCCAAGGGGTTCCTCTTTGTTCACTGCAGGTGACCAAGCCACGGCTACTAAGCCCACCCGCCACGACAAGGCGGGAACCCGTTCGGGGGCATGAACCCCCTCCTAGTAATACAAGAACACACTGCATCATAGAAAATGTTGACCCATTTTCCAATTATATTGCGAATGTTATTTATCTCTATTATAGCAATATAATGACCTTGTATTTCTATTATTTAATACATTTTGAAAAGGTATTTTAAGGAATTTAATAAATTTAAAGGCTTTTAAAGCCTTTACTATACTATAATACTTAATGTTCGAAATTAATGCTTATTAATATATTTTAATTGATCAAAATATTATATCTATGATATATTAAAATGTTTATACATTGAATTTAATTATTATTAAGGAATCATTCTTTAAAATTAGAATCGTTATTACATATGGTGACTAGTGTGATGGAATACCTTGAATATTTTAGCTTTATTATATATTATATTATTTAAACAAAATACTGAATTTTATAAAAATATCTTTCAGTCACGGTGACCAGCACGGAGACTAGCCATCTGCTCAGGACAGGATTATAGTGCAGGAGTGTATGAGTAAACACAGATGTACTATTCCCTCACTCAATTCAATTTTTAGAAAATATGTATAGAAATTTATAACCCGGTAACTAATGTATCTAATCTATCCGATTGTATTGTTCAGTTAAATATTTTGTGTAGTACTTATCTAACTTTATGTACTAGATAATATTCCTTTAGTAATTGGCTTTTTAGGACCTTAAAATTATCATGGATCGAGCTACACAAGGAGTAATTTTCTTTAGCATGGGATCGATGCTAAAGAGCAGTAAAATGCCGGAGCAAATAAAAAGTGGTATATTACAAATGTTTGGTCAGTTAAAACAAACTGTTATCTGGAAGTTTGAGGAAGAGTTACCGAATTTACCGAAAAACGTATATATCTTAAGCTGGGCTCCGCAGCAAAGTATTTTGGGTAGGTAATATTTAGTGAATTTATTTCATGGAATAAATCAATAATATTTAGTATAGAACAAGGATGACAAATGAACACCCAGTTTTTTACTTGATGGTAATTTGATGCTATATACGCATAAACACATCTATCCTCATTAAGAACCAAAATATAGATGAGTTTTTACCCTTGAATACTAAGATAGAATGCTTCATTACCAGTAAAAACGATCTCCAGTTCTCTACACTCACCATGAAAAACACAGTAGCATTAAGCTGGTATTTTACGATATTATTTTATGAGAGCATGATCCTTTCTCGGTTGAGCTGCCTCATTCGTACTGCAACTGTAATGTAGCTATAGCGTGGCTTTAACCACATTATTGAAAAAAATGCTATTATTAATGATATAAGAAAATTACATTATCATCCTTTTAGCATTTATCAGTATTTATTTATATATAAATAAATATACGAAGAAGATATTACATTGAGAATTTATATTATATGGTATCTCTGTGTTTTTAGCTCATCCAAACTGTGTTCTCTTCATCACTCATGGAGGTCTTCTATCAACAACTGAAGCTTTACACTTTGGGGTTCCTATTATTGGTATACCAATGTTTGCCGATCAGTTCACCAATGTCAATAGAGCAGTTGCTAAAGGTTTTGCAAAAAGAGTTGATCTGAATTATGGAACCCCCGAGAACTTGAAGATGGCTATTGACGAAATATTCAGTACTCCGAAGTAAGTAAATATTTTGCTGAATTCATTTATATCTATTGATGACAGGAGGCAGTGAGAGAAGTAACACGATCAGTGGACTGCTATTGGGTAATGACGTCATATTGTACCGTTCAGTAGTAGAATCAAATCAAAATTTGACGTAGTACAGACAAATTAAACCTATATTATGGTTGTAGCATGAATAGGTAGGCTCAAGCGGGGAAGAATCACGCCCTCATAGAATACTATATAGAAGCTTAATGCAGCTGTGCTTCGGATGACAAATGTCAGACCGGAGACCAGTTTTACTAGAAACGAGGCGACTTAGTCTTCAGGAATGACAACATATCTGCATTTTGATTCTAATTCTAGGATACAATAGATGTCGATATCGGCCACAGCATCTACTTACCATCAGATGGACTATGTTATCGTTTGTCACCCTTATATAAAAGTCCTTATGACTTCGGGTAGATGCATGCATAACCGTCTTAAATTTATACTAGATATAAAATTCCAGCACTAATTGTACATCTCGGGTGGTGCGATTATCAGTATACTTGCATAGCGTGACGGTTAAGAAAATCTATTCTTCTATGGGAGAGGCCCGTACCTATACCAGCGTCAATAGTTCATATCTCGTACTCCACAAATTCGCCAGCCAAGTACGACGATTACGGCATTCCTTCTTTGACCCAGTGTCTAGCAATGCAGTTCATTGCTAGACAATGAGTCAAAGGGAGAGTAATATAAGTTTTGTATAAGTGATACAAATTAATGAAATCTACTTATTTAAGTTATAAAATTGTATGTTTTAAACGTGTTGTGGCTGTGTAAGGTTATCCAATGCCCTATTTCGTCACGTTGGTGTCGTTAAAAGCAACAGAGGGAAACTAATCAGGAGAAGTAGTGTCTTCCTAATGACAACTAAAAACACTTGCGGTTGCCAATATACTTACCAATTGTAGCAACTATGGAAAACCCTGTAATAAGCATTTCGAAGATATCTATGTGTGCTGTAATGAAATTTGTGTATTGTTGTGTGCGTCATTGGTCCGTGTCAAAATGAAGTTTTTTTTACTTCATTCTTTATTCTAAATTTTTGGTTTTGGTTTTAGATATCGTGAGCGTGTTAAAGAACTCTCTTTTATATACAATGACCGAGCGTTGTCACCTGGATCTGAGATTATTAGATGGGTTCATCATGTAATAAAAACAAAAGGGTCACCCCATCTGCGATCTCCAGCTCTCCTGGTACCTTTGTACCAAAAATTGTACCTTGATCTCATTTTTCTTATAATAATCTCAGTTTTAATACTCATTGTTGTTATAAAAATATTTGTAAATAAAAGACACATTGTTGTTGATATTTCTAAAAAGTTTAGTTAGTATTAAGTAATGTGTAAAATTGTTTATTATGTTATGCACGCTAAAATATCGAACTTCGCATACAGAACTAACTCAAGAGCGTTGTGTAAGAGTACCTCAAAGTAAATATTTTATTTTATGAATAAAATAATAATCTTAATATTTGACGTTTAGTAAGTGTAGTGATTATGTATATTAATATATGGTTTATTTGTAACACAAAATCAAAAAAGTAAATGAATAATAAAATATTTTTAGAATTTAACCATGTGCTATTTTTATGATATCATTTTTATGTATAATATTACAATTAAATACGTTTTAAAAAGTAAAATAAAAATATAATATACACTACATAATTACAGATATAAGAAACAACTTTTTTAAAAAAGGTTATAATTTACATTAGGGTTTTTATGTCTGTTAACACAATAGCTTCAATATGGCATAGGCTAGATAGTTCATCGCTCCATTTTTTCTCATGGTCATAAGAGACGATTATGAGAAATGCAAGAAAGATATTATTTCTTACAATTCTTAAAAAAACAAACTCATTTATACGGTAGGCTTAAAAATCCTAGCTCAGCGACGGAGAACAAACTTTGTACTACATTGTCTTGAGTAGTAGCAAATTAAAAAGGTTTGGAATACGCGCTGTTACCGGATTAAACAAGAATGCGGTAGTTACATACAAGCATCTCGAAACGCACGCACACACACGTGGCGTTCATCTGCATCGGCAAACAGGTAAGGCAACGCGATGATGAGTACTACCGACGCAGGAATTGCGTTATTTTCTCTGATAGAAGCTTGTATGAAACTTGCGTACTTTTGTTAAATCTATCGCTACACTGCATGCCCCGCGAAACACTTCCCATTCAGGAATTATATAATTATATTATACTCAGGCTTAAAAAATGGCATCTCATCGCATATTGACGTGATAACGCAACTGAATTAGCGGTTCCAGTGCACTTTTATTTGGTTTGTAATTGTAAGAACTATATGAACTAATGCTATAGAAACTAATCGTAGCAGCATATTCGGTAGGTATTCATACCGAGCGGCTGCTTTTTAGCACATTTATAATATAAAAGCGTGAATTTGTTACGGACACCGCACGCCCTACATACTCATATCATGACTCTTCACTTAGGCCTATCTCTTATAGACAATTTAGTTACTACCTATTTTCTCTTCCTTTCGATATCACGTTTACTCGACGAAATTTGTTTTATAAGCAAATTGAAAAATAATATAAATATTGCCAAAACAATAAACATAACAGCAGCTAAATCTAGGTACATCTTCTGGTACCACGCGACATCCAGCGCTGGGGAACGGAGGTGTAACGCACCACCCGTACGTATGACATGCTCCGCCCAGTGCACTAGCTCATCTCCCGGAGACACTGGTCTATCGTGGTATATAAACGACAGTTCTTTTACTGTTTTCTTATATCTGGAAAAGAAGGAAAATATTATTTAATTTTTTAATTATAAATCATAAAACTATGTCAAAATTTTTAAAGCATATTAGTCTGGGTGTTTGTAATAGGAGAAACATGTTAGTTTAGCCCATTTTTCCGGATACGTTCCCCTTATAAACTGAGGTAGGGTGGAAGGTTGAGGTTCACTTTGTTGTGTTCGTTACAATGTCGTAAGAAAAGTTACTATTATTCCTAAAATATTTCCTAAATATCGACAGAATTAATGTTGGAATATTATAAATCAAGTAAATGATTTCTTTTTACACAGGCTACATCAAAACTTTTATAAGAGCACTTTTTGTACAGGTATGAAAATATTCAATCATCTGCCACCTAATATAAAAGCTATGGACTTGCCAAGATTTAAAATACACCTCAAGAAGTGGTTAATATATAATATGTTTTATAATTTAAATGAATATTTTAATACCAAACATTAATTTATATAAAGTTTTATTTCTTAATTATTGCATACCCGATATGGGTAAACTGCGTAACATTTAATTGCAATGTCACCCGCAAATTGTACATACACAGCTTATTGGCAATAAATATTCTGATTCTGATTCTGATTCTGTAGTATATTTTATTTTACTATTCTAATACATAATTTTATACGTGGTAGAGCAGTAAACTATTAACTAATCTGTGGTAGAGCCATGCTGCAGCTATATTGGTAGTATAGTTGTAGCACCAATAGGTCGGCTCGACCGGGGGAGGATCACGCTCTCACATAATACCAGCGTCAAATAGCAGCTTAAAACTGCTTTGTTTCGTATGGTGTGTAGAAAACCGGAGATCCTTTTTACTTGAAAAGAGACATTTCATCTTAGTCCTCACGGGTGACAAAGCATCTGCATTTTGATTCGGAACCGAGGATAGATGTAGATGTTTATGGGCCACATCAACCACTTACCATTAGATGGATTATGTGCTCGTTTGTCAACTTGTCCTATAAAAAAAAACACACTCATAAATATAATGATGATGATTGTGATATATTATAACTAGCTATGCCATGTGGTTTCACCTGCGTATATAGTAGCCCTGCAACATGACATGACGCCTAGTTCAAGCATTTTGAATAAGAATGTATAGAAAAAGTGGCAAAACTAAAGGAGTACTTTTATTTATTGGTATAATATGTAACGGTATAGAACGAAATGATTTCTTATATTTACGCGAACACTACACATTGAATAAAACTACTTTTACCGATTCTATCGCGTTTAATTAACTTATTTTTTTTAACTTATATTTATTAATTCCTGACGTTTTGGGTGCTTTACAATGTGGTGAATGTGGTCTCTCATATATACGACAAACAAAACGATCAATAACAACCCGCGTCAAAGAACACATAGCTGACGTGAAGCACCAACGTTCCGGGAAGTCTGCAGTTTGTGATCATATTCTATACGGCCCCCGCTAATACATTAGATTTGATAAACCACAAATTCTCGCGAATGAAACATCGATTACTGCCAAGGATGATACGTGAGGATATTGGAATTAAAAAACATCCTAATATCAATAGAGAGGGAAGCTGGGTACTACCACCTGCTTGGGATCCTATAATTTATAAAATTAAAACTAAACCCAAGCATACCACTGCAAGACTTCAGGACACAGTAAGTTCATTCTGCGTAGATTGGACCAAAATTAATAATTAAAAAGCTGAAGGTTCTCCGGATTAACTCTGACATCCGGACATCAATCGCCTCAGTCCCCCGTGACCATGGGTGCTGGAAAGCACCCGAAACGTCGGGAATTAATAAAAATAAGCTAAAAGAAAATAAGTTAATTAAAGGCAAAAGAATCCGTGAAAATAGTTTTATTTAATGTTATAGAGCGAAGTTAAATTTTATCCACTCACTCTCCCGCCCTCTCCCGGATGAACATCCCCTCCCCCCCGCTCCAGAAAGTGTCCCGATGCGCGGTTTTTTTCAGTTTCAAATAAAACCGTACATGATACATGAAAAGTGTGCAGGTACGAAATAATCCTTGATTGTGATTTATCTCATTTATTATTCTCATTTATCAATTTTGATTTGCTGAAAGTTTAGTTTCCTCAAAAATTTACCACTTTACCGCCAAGATATTATATCTGAGTAATAAAATGTTTCGAAAATATGTGTACACGTGTTGGAGCAGCGCGTCCAAGTAATTGCTCCAGAGCCTTCTTTGAAATAAGAGGAGAGCCATTCCCAGCTGTAGGACGTATATAATAGACTGTCACTTTACTTTTTGACTATATTTGTTGATCTGATTATTGTGAATAACTATATAGGTGCTATGTCATTTTCAAATTTTTCTTTATTGAAATCCTTTAATTAAATTAGAGTGTCTTGATATCAAGTAGTATTAAATGTATTATTCAAAAGAGAGGATAGGGTGACAAACGAGCACACAGTCCACCTGATGGTAAGTGGTTACTGTGACCCATAGACATCTACATTTATCCTCTATAAAGAATCACAATGCAGATGCGTCGTCACCCGTGAGGACTAAGATGGAATTCCTCTTTTACAGTAAAATGGGTCTCCGGTTCTCTACACTCACCATACGAAACACAGCAGTGTGAAGCTGTCATTTTACGCTGGTGTTATGTGAGAGCGTGGTCCTTCCCCGGTCGAGCCTAACCATTCAAAAAAAATATTATTCAAAAGAAAATAAATATAAAAAAATATATTAAACCTGTACAATAAGAACATAATTAAAATAATAATTACTAAAAAAAAACAACATACTTGGGATCACTGAGCATGTTATTGATTGCCACTTTTAAGTCATCAACCAGGGAATATGTGAGGTCCACTCTTATCGCATAACCTTTCTTCACAGCTCTGTCAATGTTATTAAACTGATCAGCAAGCACAGGTATTCCAATTATAGGTACTCCAAAGTGGAGTGTCTCAGTAGATGAAAGCAAACCTCCATGTGTAATAAATAATGCACAATTTGGATGAGCTGAAATATGAGGTTTAGTAAATTAAAATCACACCAAAATCATACATCTGAAGAGGTGGTCAAGTTATAACAACAGTACGGCATTCAGAGTTGTTGTTTTCGGCGGTAAAATAGTTCAGACCTAAGCGGGCGCTTCTCAAATTTACAAGATCAATTGGAATTTAAAGAAAGTTGTATATTCCTGTAGTTTATTATTTAGATAGTGGATTTAAGCAGCTGTCATTAATTTAATGTAAAATATTATATGACTAGAATTTTGACCTGATTATTGAGGATGAGCTGAATTTTGAGGTGTGGTAAATTAAAATATAAAACGTAATTAATTATTGTGTGGTGATATAAAAAAAAAAACAGATATTTCAGTGAGTTCAAACTAATGAATCAGTATTAATATTCTATATGAACATAGCGTTAAGCATGGGTTGGCTTGACCGTCAAAGACTCGCCCTTACGGAATGTCTGCGTAAAATGCTGCTGCGTTTCTTCTGGCAATTGACACGAAATGACAGCTGACAAGATGGAGCCATCTTAGGATAATTCTAGGATTGAAAATGGCGGGAAATCCTAACAAGAGCAATTGGTTCAAAAATTGGACCCCCAACGATCTACGGTGGGTCAGTGGCGCCGTCGTGTTAGGGATCTCACTAGCCTCCATAATCAGGCACCTGACACTAAAAACCAGCAGCTCACCAAATGTTTCATATGTGCAATGTAACTGTCCAGACCAATCCTCCCAAAAACGGGTTTCACATAACCTTCATAACACCGGAAAACGACTAGTGTTGTTTGGTTGTATGTCTATGCGAAGCCTGTCGTATTTAACCTGGTTCTGCTAGTATTAGTGGACCAAATTCCCACCAGAATATGGAGCTGTCCGTTTCTCACTACCCAGGGGATATCTATAGGGTGGCAGGATTCGAGTAATTCCTATGAACGCGAGTAGCTTTATGTCCCTAATACGTTATTATTTTTAGTATGATATTATGATGGTGATTCCCTGTTGGCAGGTTTCAACAACGCAGATAGTTTCTACAAACTGAGCTAGCTGCTACTTTATGTACCCTTTATGTATGAAAAATTGGATGCTGCAAAAATAGGATTAATCGCAATACATTGATAAGAAAGAACTAATAATTTGAATTCTCTCTTCAAATCAATACTGAATCTTCAGTTAATTAAATGACAACTGAAGAGTCAAGACAAATTAGATAATAATATTTTTAGGAAGGCAGTATAGTTAAGAGTAATAACACAGTAAAGTTATAATAATTAGAGACTATGAGACATTTCATCTAAGTCCTTTGTTACCTTTTGTTTAAAGTTGGTTGCAGTTGTCCATGGGATAACTATCAGTATTAGTTGCAGGTTTATTACCGTCATGTAATATATGTACATATTAAAAACTAGATTAACTTTATGTTCTTACCTAAAATACTTTGCTGAGGTGCCCATTGTAATATGTGCACATTTTTCGGTCTGTCAGGTAGGTTCTCTTCCAGTTTCCAAATAACAGTTTGTTTTAAATTGGCAAATAATTGTAGTAAACCTCTTTTAATTGAACTAGGCAGTTCCTTGCTTTTTAAACCTGTGCCTAAGCTGAAATATATTACGCCATTTTCCGCATTATCCATTATCGCCTTAAGATCCTGAGAAAAGTGAAATAAAATTACTTATTTATGCGAAGTCGTACAGACGCTCCCCGTTAAGTGACGGTCCACTACAACAGGAAACAAACCAGGACATGGGCAGCAGCGTTTTTCTAATAAAGACAAAAAAATGCGATTGCAAACACGCCTACCAAACGTGGCAGCTGCGGTGAATTTTCCTCCTATAGTAATCAACAGCGGAGTTCTATGTTCAGCAGTGGACTGTTGATAGTTTGAATGCTGAATGAAGTGGGCTCCCGTGTTTGTTCATTCCATTATGTTAAAGTTGGTAAATAACTACTTTGCGTACTTTCTCGCTCAATGAAATAAAATGATGTGTCTTACCTAGTTTGAGCACCTCCCGCCCTCCCTCATTTGCGTGCACTATCACCGTCACCACTAATCCCAGCACCACTACTCCCAACACCACTACACTAGGAAAGACACACCACCAACGACGATACGACACGTGTTTCGCCTCAACACGAGGCATCTTCAGGTGATCTAGACTCTGCTGTGGCTGACCGCTATTTTATCAAGTGTATGTACGTGAAGTAATATTTTACCAACTTAAATATAATGGACTTCAACAAGGTAACGCCTGATTCTATTAATCATTCCATTATGTGTTATGGACGCCACGAAACCAATTGTGAGATTTCACATTTAACATCAAATTGTTATATATCATAGACATATCACTTATTTGTGAGCATAGACGAGCAAGTAAGAAACACCCCGTACGAGCATATTTACATTTTCGTATAATAGACAACATTTTGTAGATATGAGTATTATTAGCTTTAACACGAAGAAATTATGTATTTTTTGAATTACCTGGGGTAAAGGTTTAACTACTTTTTCAATATGATAGCCTGCTATAGGTTTATAGCTTTGTGGTAAGCGGGTTGCATGTCCAATTGATACATGTGAGTTTCCAAGGACTAACGAAATATTGTTTCTCAATTCCTCAAACGAAGGCACAGATTTTCCTCTTCTTCGAACAATTGGAGCGATAATTCGTTCATAATCTTCATTTTCGATGGGAGAGAACACACTGTAAATTATTAAATTAATGCGTTAAATAAAACAAATTAATATAAAATAAGCCAATGTCAGTTCCAGTTTTATTAGATAAGTAGGAAAGTTGAGACAAAATACAAGCGTGTGCGCAAACACTTTTTATGGTTATAAAATGATCTAAATGTGCTACCGAGGCGTCCACTTTGAACATAACGGCTAGTGTTTGGTGATATCTTACGGAATGCGATAAATGGAAGTAAGGTCGTCTTTTTACGTCAGATATAAAGTTACCAGTCTGGCGACAGAGAGCCGTGTCAAAAGTTTGAGACGTCTGACACTCCGATTGTCAATACGCCTGCAAAACACTACGATTAAAGCAAATGTATAGTCCCATTTTTTATATTAGAGGGTGACAACTAGCATTAGACTCACCTTATGGTAAGTGACTACTACCGCCCATGAACAACTGCAACACCAGGGAATTGCAGATGTGTTGCCGGCCTTTTAGAAAAGAGTAGCTAGATAGCTTGTATAACTCTTTTATTAGTTGTATAATTCACGCGGCCACACGTCGCGCGTCTCAGCATGTCTTCCAGAGGCCCCCTGTTCCGGGGTGGAATGAGTATGTACGTGAGGCACACATGAAGGCACGGCAAGCTCGAGCTGGGTGGTTAACGGCTGGGGCGCCTTCTTCTGGTCCGCTGTTCGATCAAATGAAAAGAACGCGAACTATTTTTAAAAGTAGGTTAAGATTTTGCCACAATTCCGCTGATCAAATAATCTTAGATAAGATTTTGGCATCTTGTTTAAGTAGAAACTTTAGTCAATTTTGGAAAGATACGGGAAATTTACTTAAGACCGGGTCTAAGATTACGGAGTGTGTGGATGACCTACACGGACACACTGGCGATTGCAAACTTGTTTAGGGACAAATTTCTTGCGTTAAGTGCAGGACACTGTAATTCTCATAATCAATATCTTGTAGCAGATGGCAAGGACATTCATGTATCTGAAGAGATGATCTTTAATGCTCTGCGCCAGATGAAACTAGGAAAGGCGATAGGATATGACAATATAAGCGTGGAACATCTTCGGTTTGGAGGACCATGGGTAATGGCGTTCCTATCTGTATTTTTCAATGCTTGTATAAAGCATGCTTACTTACCGGTAGAAATGCTAAAAACGGTAATAAGTCCTGTTCTTAAATGTAAATTGAGTAGTTTGACCGACAGTGGTAATTATAGACCGATATCCATAGCTACAACTTGTGCTAAACTGTTTGACACCATATTATTAGGCGTTATTTCCAAATATATACAAATTAGCGATGTTCAATTTGGACTTAAAAAAGATAGTTCTACGGATGCGGCGATTTTTACTTTAAAGCAAACCATTAGTTATTATAATAAGCGGAAAACAAATATTTATGCATGTTTCTTGGACTTAAGTAAGGCTTTAGACAGAGTCAGTTATGATATACTTTGGAGGAAGTTACGTGATGCGGGAGTGCCGTCATTATGTATTAACATATTGATCGCATGGTATAGTAGGCAAATTAATGTAGTAAAGTGGTGTGATACATACTCTGAGGAATTTCTCCTACAATGCGGTGTAAGGCAGGGAGGGCTAACATCGCCTATGCTTTTTAATCTGTATGTTAATCAGCTGATCGAGGAGCTTAGAAGCACCAGACTGGGTTGCCACATTAGTTCTGAATGCTTTAATAACTTGAGTTATGCTGATGATATGGTGCTGCTGAGTCCCTCGATTGGTGCACTGCGTGCACTACTCCAGATATGTGAGAAATATGCAATGGATCATAACCTATTGTACAACACCAACAAGTCTGTTTGTTTGCTTTTTAAGAGTGGTAGGGTTCAACCTCATATCCCCCCATTGTATTTGTGTAATATACAGTTGGAGTGGGTAACGACGTTTAAATACCTGGGTCATATTGTTACTCAGGATCTGTGTGATGGTTCCTATATGGACCATGAGCGTCGTTCCTTGTCAGTGCGTGCCAACATGATAGCTAGACGCTTTCAAAGGTGTTCTTATACCTCAAAGCTGGCGTTGTTTTCAGCTTACTGTCAGCCACTTTACATTCCTCAGCTGTGGACGAATTACACTAAAGAGGAATATCGCAGGCTAAAGGTGCAGTATAATGATTCGTTCCGCATGTTGTTCCGTCAGCCACGATACTGTAGCACGTCCCAGATGTTGGCAGAGGCCCGTGTCGTTGGTTTGGATGCGTTGATCCGTCACCGTATCGCGCGATTTAGAAGTTTTGTTTTTCGGTCGCAGAATAATCTCATCAAAATTATTTGTAATATGTATGCATGAAATTTTTAATTAATTTAATTATTGAAATTTTTAGTAGATGGTCAAATTTATTAAAATCTTATTAATAAAATGTAATAATATCATTGATTAACCAATAATTAAAATTAAAATTTAAGGTATAGTTTAAAAAAAAAATTTTTGTAATGGATCTGTGTTGTCTGTATCAAATAAATTATTATTATTATTTAATATCCAGCAGTAGACTATTACAGGTAAATCAAGAAGAAAAATTAGTGAAAATACATTAGGGATTAACTTACAAGTATTGATCTAGTACACCAAAAATCTGATAAGATAATTCCTGTACTCTTTGTATAAATGTAAATGGTGGCGAGTTATTAGAAACGATATCCGAGTTGTACGCTGGATTTGGTAACTCGTCGATTATCTTTAATATCATCCAGTGTGATTCAACTGTTGAGAACCATATAAAAGGACATTCAAATATCGCTGGAAGTCTAAAAACAAAATATTAATAATAACTTTTAATTATTTTCACATTTAAATCAGATTATTGTTGCGAAAGATAAAGCATTGTTAATCTAGAGAGTTTGTTTAGTTACCTTTACTTAAATTTCTTATCACTAGACAGTTTGCTTTATAATTATCTTTACTCTGATCTCTTATCGGAGCGATAAGCGATGTGTGTAACCAGTTAAGTAGTTTTAATAATTATTAAAAATTGAAAATTTTGAACATCAGACTTCAATATAAATTATTAAGAATAGCTATAAACTAAGGGTTTTACCCTGATGAAATTTATATGAGACCAAATAAAAAAAGAAACATCGAAATTGGTGCACCCAGTAAAAAGTTATGAGGTAACACACATACAAAAAAACATACAGTCGAATTGATAACGGGCTCCTTTTTGAAGTCGTTAGAAAATCAAACTATTTGTAAGATAATATTCTTATTCATAAAATGATGTAAGTTCAATAATTTTATTCGTTTTAGCTAAATAGTTCAAACTTACTGTGTTAAATGCATTTTATACAACATAACACATACCCGGCATATAGTTCATTAAACATCCATTCGCCAATAATTAGATCAAACTTTTCTTTCGGATCATTTAATATCTTTTGCATATTTACGTGCTCCAGCGTTATAATAGAAAGTTCTCTCATTGCTGTAAATATAAATTTTAAATTCCTGACATCATGTTTTTCGTCCATTAATTTCTGTAGGTTTATATCGTCTTCTGCAAAGGTATAGTCTATATAAATAATTGTTCTATAGGTTCTGTGTAAATCAATTATTCTGTATGTTCTGTAATAAAATGATTCATTTACGTAGAAAATCGCGTAATTTATCACCAACATCAACTTCTCTAACATTGGGATCTGTTGTATCGTTAGGCATCGAAGTAATAATTGTTACCTGAAAAAAAGTTACCAATAAACATAATGTGCAATATTTTATACATCAAGTATTCAATTATTCATGCGCATTGCGAAGACCTTAATCAAGTAATAGAACAAGAAAAACTGGAAAACTAAGGATAAAACTAGCAACAATTTATGAAATAACTAGAAAAAATAAACAGAAGATGGGTACTCTAAATATAAAAAGGTAATTATGGTATAAATGTAAGCATGTAAATTAGTTATTAGGTCAAATGAAGGTGTCAAACATACAAAATAGCAGTTAATCTTCGAGTCTATCAAAATTAAATTAAAATTAAATTCTTTTAAATAAATTAATATGACAGTATTTATTATATTTTATTTTTAACCAACTTCAAAAATGAGGAGGTCCTCAATTCGTCGGAATCTCTTTTTTATATATGTTCACCGATTACTCGATGACGCCTGAACCGATTTGGAAAATTCTTTTTGAAGTTATACTTCTTTTAGGGCGTTTGGGAAAATTATGAGAGTGAATTTTTGCGATGCGCGTGCACAATGCGCGTGTACCTAAAAACGACACCATAAAATTGATTACAGTGCGAACTCAATCGGACAACTGAAAGCGACCACTTCAGTGGGTAATTGTCTCTCAAGCTTTTTGTTTTGTTACGCTAAAGAAGTCGAAGTCGAACGGAGAGAACGGAGTCGAGCTAGTACCTCTGTCGTCGGCGGAACCACGTGTTGTTCTTTACGGATTTATTAACTTCGTTTAAAGTAATTGTGCAAATTATATAGTGATTTCGTTGAAGTTCTTTTTTTGACTATACCATTACGTGAATTGCTTTCAAGTCGGGAATTGTTCCGGGAGCTCCACAGGAGAATACATCCTCCAGGACAGCATCGTGTCATCTAGCCCAGGCCACCTACACCCAGACACACACAAATACCACCTACACTCACTACACTTTCATCAGCCGGGCAGATCCTGGTGAACAGTCTCCGCTCCCGAAGCGGGTAAGTACCTTCCCGTTAACTAGCCTTCCCCTTTATTGTGATAGGATATTTCCACGTGGCCACTTTGGAGGCCCGACCTACGTCTGCCCGTAGAATTCCTGCTTGGGCCCCGGAATAGCCTACTTTTGCAGAGGCAGCCGTAGGCCGTAACAACCATGTTATCGATTCTGCTGTCGGTGTTCAGCAGGGTGACCCACTAGGTCCAGCACTTTTCAGTTTGGGAATTCAACCCATTATTTCAAATTTGAAATCCAAGCTGAATGTCTGATACCTGGACGACGGTACACTAGAAGGTACAGCAGATGACGTCCTCAGTGATCTTACTCCTATTTTTCTACATTTTAAAAATATTGGTCTTGAACCAAATAGCAATAAATGTGAAATATTTTTTTCCAATAATTTATCTACTTCTCATAGAGACATTTTAATTCAGAATTTCAATCATGTTTGTCCAGGAATAAAAACTGTCAGTACGGAATCATTTTACCTACTAGGTGCCTCGTTGTTTTTCGATAGTATTAAACCTGTTTTAAAAACAAAATTTGATCAGTTTTTAAACCACGTTGATAGATTGTATAAATTAAACCCCCACATAGCTCTTAAACATAACATATAACATAAACACTCACGCCTGTCACCCAGAGGGGTAGGCAGAGATTATGGACTTCCATTTGGCACGATCCTGACACACCTCTCTCGCTTCCTCCACATCCATATACCTACGCATACACGCTCGTCGGTTAAAGGTACTCTTGATTTGGCCCATTTTTAATATATCGCCAATTTGGTCGATAAACTTTCGCCTAGGGCGACCCTTCCCGACTATGCCGTTCACCTCTGCAACATAAATTTGCTTTGTCACTCTTTCCTCATTCATTCTTTCTACATGGCCAAACCACCGAAGCATTCCTTTCTTAATCCTGGTCACAACATCATCTTGCAAACCACACTCTTCTCTTATTAAACAATTTCTCACTCTGTCATTCAGCTTCATCCCTAACATACTCCTTAATGACCGCATTTCTACAGCATTTATTCTACTCTCATGCTTCTTCTGCCACACCCAACTTTCACTACCATACATTAAAGTAGGTACTAACACAGCATTGTGAATTGCCATACGTGCCTTTTTGGACACATTCTGACTTTTCACAATAGAGTGTAGAGCCCCATTCACTCTATTTCCTGCATTCACTCGTCGTTCTATATCCTTATCATATCTACCATCCCTGCTAAACTATAATAGCTCTTACTATTTTTAAATATTGTCTCCTTGTACCTAGATTTACATACTTACTTCGTTTGTGTCCAGTCTTGAAATGTTCGGATCTTTTAAAAGATATTGATAATAATCTTAAAATAGCTATAGAAAAAATAAGCTATTTTACCTATAAAATTTGGTGGCATTGGTGTGAGAAATCTTTCTAGCGTTGCATTACCTGCTTTCCTTGCTTCCGTGCATAGTGTCAGTGACTTATGTAACATAATTTTAAATAATAAAGTAGACCTACGCTTTGCTACGGAGGCAGGACACACATGGCAAATGCTCTGTCCCGGTGAAAATGTTCCATTGGAAGTTAAACAACAAAAACAGTGGGATATTCAATTGGTACGGGGCGTGCAGAAAGATTTGTTTCATAATTTCCATAGTGACCAAGTTAAGGCACGCCTTCTAGCAGTTCCGACTAAGGAATCTAGTCACTGGTTACACCCTTTACCTTCAAGTAATCTCGGCACATTACTTGATGGGGAAAGCTTGCGCATTGCCGTAAGAATCCGACTAGGAGCGGCGCTTTGTCAACCCCATGAGTGCCCCTGTGGTAACAGCGTCGACAAGTTTGGGCTCCACGGACTTTCATGTAAGAAAAGCGCTGGTAGGTTTTCACGACACAGTTCTTTGAACGATGTCATCTGAAGGGCTCTTGTCTCTATAAATATTCCCTCGGTTTTAGAGCCTTGTGGAATATTTAGAGACGATGGCAGGAGACCCGACGGCATGAAATTGGTACCTTGGGAGAGAGATAAAGCCCTAGTGTGGAATGCTACTTGCGTAGACACTCTGGCGGCCTCTCATCTCAGGGGTACGTTTAGAGCCGGGGCAGCATCAGAGGCAGCTGAACTGAGTAAGTGGCGCAAATATGAATCTCTGAGAGATGACTACATATTTGTGCCATTTGCTGTAGAGACTATCGGTTTGTGGGGTCCACGTACGGTGAAGTTCTTAAAGGAACTCCATCCGCGGCTGGTCGTTGCTGCTGGAGATAAGAGGGCTGGTTCTTTTCTCGCTCAAAGGCTAGGTATAGCCATTTAGCGGGGAAACGCAGCCAGCGTTCTTGGCACAATGCCGCGGGGAGTAGGACTATATAATAATTAAGTTTCCAGTTTTAGTTTTTTTTTATTATTATAGTTGTTTGCGTAAAAATCTTCTGTAAATATGTTACTAATAATGAAAGCAATAGTCATTTTGGAACGAAGTTCTTTATCGGACGGTACGAATTTAGCGGATGGGGGCTAGGCGAGAAAAAGTGTAAGATTTTTCCGTCACGACCCCTTCTGACGTAGTGTAGACGGCCTTCGCGGTTATAAGGAAGCGAGATGGAATAATATCCATCTCTCTCGCACTTTTTTATGTTACCATGAAAGAATTATTATTTTATTTTAAATGGCGCTTAATGTCTCATAGAAGCTAGTAATTCATTTATTTGTAATTAATCAATAATATAATACGTTTATCAATAATAATATACTATTAAAGTAACTTCGTTCCAACCGAGTGTTCCACAACACTCACACTCGTTTTTATTGTTTCAAAGGGTACTTCCCAGGTGGTCCCATATAAATTTGAGCGAGGACTGACCCGTAGTTTTTGAGTTATCCTTAATAATTTATATTGAAGTCGGTTGTACAAAGTTTTTAATATTACCTGTACTTAAAATTTCAGTTGTCAAAAGTTATCCTATTTTTAATGACTTTCCTGGAGAAGATATGGCGATAGAAATTCCGCAGGTATCGGCTTTATTGTCATTTTATAAAAGACGTGTGAAACAATATTCAATTTTAACAAATTCCTTGGCCACGAAAGAGAAACAATAGTTTAAACATTCGAAATGTTGATATATGGCTCTTGGACAGTAGTGGTTAAAAGTGGAATTGACGCATATGTAAATAAAGCATGATATATTCATGATATAAAAAAAATTAAAATTATATGTAAGTGTATATTAAGTCCAAACAGAACAGCCCTCACAAGCAGCACCGGCTCACAATATAACTATAAACAGACTACACAGCGGACTATGCGCTGCGTGTTGAGTATAACAATATACTGAGGGCGGTGCTGAGAAATCATTGACACTGCAGTGCATCGACAATGTTTGTGGCTCATCCTGTTGATGATTTCTACGGAATATAGACTATTTCTAAAATAAAAACATTTTATAAATTAATGTTACGTTCGTGGGAGTCATTTCCCTTCTCGACCATTTTATAGACAATTGGATAACCCGACACGTCCGTATTCCAGATTCTACTACAGATACTGTAATCGGAAAATGCTTATGCAAAAATGTTCATGCAAGACAGGTAAGATCGAACACAACCCACTTGGTGCTTGGCTTCCACCGCATATTTATTATTTCTCATAGCCGACGCGACTCTTGTACAAGGCCTCTGTTATCTGCGCGAGCAGATGTCTGCCATTGCACTCACTACTTACGTGACGCCAGCAGTGCGGCGGTAACACTTCACATACCTGAGTAACACGGTTACTAACAAACGGCTTTTATTTGTAAGTTTCTGTCTGAAGCCACGCC